ACGGGTGAGCCTCATCCCACTGTGGGGGTACTGAAAGTAGATGACAAGCTAGAGCAGGTCAGAGTAAGACTGTTTAGTACTCGCAGCAAATAGGGCCGTCAGCCTAGCTGTGCCGGCGCCCCTGGCCGCCACGTTCTGTGGGGTGACTCAATGTGGCCTGATGCGTCATATTCCACCAAGAGCTGTCAACACTTTTTGCAGCAGGCACCAACCAAGCCAGTGCCCTCAACCAGGGAGTGAGTGTCATCCTGACCTACCTGGTTGCCTCGATGAGCAGCTGCAGCAAGTGCTCGGGACCAGGCAGCAGCGTCCGGTTGGGCGCACTCACAAAGGCGGTGCAGGGGGGTTCAGGGCAGACTGCCTCCCTGAGGGAGTAGACAGTTGCCATGCGCTTCACACCAAAGGAGCAGAACCGTGGGAGTTGCAAAAGGTCTCTTCAGTTCCGTCCTCAGCAGGGGCTCTTCTCTGTGAGGGAGAAACCACATTTCAGAAGTAGTTGTCAACATTGACACAAAGAATGGGGACAGATGTTGCTGGACTAGACCGGCCTCCCCGTTGGCACGTTAACAAGTGACGTCTGTTCTCCTCACCGAGGGACAGAGGTGAGTGAAAGGCAAAGAGCTTAAGCTGCAGTTTTTAAGAGAATGAAAAGGTAGCACTCATCCTTCCTAACCTGGTGCTCATGTCTAGGTCAATATAGCCTGCTCACTTGATACATGTAACAACAACAAAGAATGATTACTTCACTTTAACCTAAGACAGCTGGTCGGAATCCCTGCCATTTATCCGTCTCTGGTTCATGTTTATAGACTGAGGGAGCCCAGCTCTACATCAGTGTCTGGTATTCTTTATACCCCATTAAGCATCAAACTCCGAGCATCCTGAGGTTTTTCAAATACCTTTACTCAGACTTCCAATTCCACTATTGGCAGAGGAAGTCTTCCACAGGTAACAGCTGTACGGCCTGGCAGTAACACGAAGGCATTGAAGAGTGAATAGATGCAGTCACAGTCTGGTGAGGAGTCCACACTCAGAGGAAGGCCGACAGCACGAGTTCCCTCTTTATGCTGCTTTTACTTGGGGGTCAAGCTAAGTGGGAAGGTTACTGGTAGAAAAACCATAGCCTTTATGCCCCAGGAAGTCAGAGAGCCTAGTTGAGAGCAACCCAGAAAGGGAAAGAACTAGAGGGGAGATCCCCCAAATCCTGTCTGTCCATATCTCCAGCTAACCCCTAAGCCACAGAGGCATTGAGTGGTCATAGAAGCTGAGCTAAAGATAAAAGATGGGAGCTGTGCTTGGAACTTCTGCCTAAGAAACATTTTGAAGGTCAAGTCCAACCAAGTTAATTGCCTACTAAAACAAAAGAAAGAAACCACTCATCTGAGAAAAATAACAGAATGCAGAGGCTTCACAATTTGATATTCATAATAGCCATTCATAACATGCAATGTGCAAATAAGGAAGAAAATGCAACCCTATCTCAAGGGCAAAAGGCAATCAGCCAAGACCAACTCCAGCTAATCCAGATGTTAGAACCTGCAGATAAGGATTTTAAAACAACTATTATAATTATCAATGATGTAAAGGAAAATAGATTTCATAATGAATGAAAAATAGCAAATATAGAAATGAGGAATGATTTTTTAATGAAATGGAAATAATAAAACAAAAATCTCTAAAATGAAAAAAATTATAGATGGTCTTCACAAAATGGAGAGGACAGTGAAAAAGGTAAAAAGATAGTAGGTAAAAGGTAAAAAGTTAGTGAACTTGTAAATCAATAGAATTTATCCACTCTGAATAACAAAGAAAAGATTTTTTTTTTAAGGAGAAGACCACCTCAGAGACATGTTATTTAATATCGAATAGTCTAAGATGGTTATGATTGATAGGACTCTGAGAAGAGAATGAGGCAGGTAAAATATTCTAAGAAATAATGGTCAGATTTTTCACAAATGTCATGAAAGACAAGTTTGTAACTTTGAGTTGCTCAATGAACACCAAGCAGGAGAAACAGAAGGCCTAGTCATATCATAGTCAAATTATTGAAAGCCAAATATTAAAGAAAGAGCAGATCTTGAAAGCATCAAGAGAAAAGCAACACAGTAACAACAATTTGTTTTATGATTGACTTTTCATCAGAAACTACTGAAGTCAGAAAACAGTGGAACAATGTCTTTAAAATTCTTAGTAGGGAGGAAGAGACTGTCACACCAGCATTCTTTATCAAGTAAAAATGTCTTTTAAGAATGAAAGTGAACTGGGCGCCTGGGTGGCTCAGTTGGTTAAGCGACTGCCTTCGGCTCAGGTCATGATCCTGGAGTCCCGGGGTCGAGTCCCACATCGGGCTCCCTGCTCAGCAGGGAGTCTGCTTCTCCCTCTGACCCTCTTCCCTCTCATGCTCTCTCTCTCTCATTCTCTCTCTCTCTCTCTCAAATAGATAAATAAAATCTTAAAAAAAAAAAAAAAGAATGAAAGTGAACTAAAGATATTTTCAGATAAAGAAAAAATAAGAATTCATCACCAGAAACCTACACTGTAAAAAATAAAATACCTAATAAAAGATGGAGGAAGTGGATCTTTATGTTTACAGGGGTTTTATATTTTATACACAATGGTACAACATGAAATAACCTATGAAAAATTAAGGATGTATATTGTGTGCCTACAGTAGCAACTAAAGTAGTACAGCTTCTTTAAAACAGAAAGATTAAGTTAGAATTCCAAAAATAAATGAATATATATACTTATTTATTTACTTACTTACTTGCTTAAAGGACAAGAACCTTAGGAGGAACAACAGGGCAAATCAAAACAAAATGGTAAACCCAAACTTAACCCTATCAGTGATTGCACAAGACATGCTAGTGGAGTAAACGATACAATTAAAATGCAGAAATTATCAGAATGACTAAAAACAGATTCAACTAACTCTAAGATGTCTGCAGTTCCTCCCTAAGCTGGACTGAGTGACTCGCTTATAATAGAATGGGCAAAAGTGATGGTGTTGGACTTCTGATACTAGTTCATAAGCGGCATGCCCCTCCTGCCTTGCTCTTTCTTGGATGCTGGCTCTGGAGAAGGGCAGCTGTCATACCATGTGGACCGTCCTGCAGCACCCTGGAGAGGCCCATGTGAAGGGAAACTGAGGCCTCCCATCAATAACCAGGACCAACTGGCCAGTCATGTAATGAGCTGTCTCTGTAAGGACATTCTCCAGCAAAGCCTGAAGATGGATGGCTATAGCCTGGTCAACATCTTGTCTACATCCCCATGAAAGACCCCAAGCCAGAACTACCCATCTAAACTACTGCTAAATTCCTGACTCACAGAAAGTGTGAGAAAATAACTCTTAAGCCACTAAACTTGTTAATGTGTAATACAATAGAGAACTAATGCATGCACCTATAAGAGGCATACTTTTTTTTTCACTGATACAAATTTTTAAAGATTTTATTTATCTGTTTATTTGAGAGAGTGCAAAAGCAATCACCGAGGGAAAAGGAGAAGCAAACTCGCCGCTGAGCAGGGAGCCTGATGCGGGGCTCGAACCCAGGACCCTGAGATCATGACCTGAGCTGAAGGCAGATGCTTAACTGACTGAGCCACCCAGGCGCCCCTAGTTGATATAAATTTGTATTTTTTAAGTTTTTATTTAAATTCCAGTTAACCTGCAATGTAGTATTCGTTTCAGATGCACAACATAGTGATTCAACACTTCCATACATCACCCTGTGCTCATCACAACAAGTGCATTCCTTCATCCCTATCGCCTATTTCAGCCATCACCCCACCCACCCCCTCTTCTGGTGATCACCAGTTTGTTCTCTATAGGTAAGACTCTGTTTCTTGGTTTGAAGAAACATACTTTAAATACAAAGACACATGTTGAAAGTAAGTAATTGGAAAAAGATACAGCATGCAAACAAACAGTATGCCTAAGTCTGGAGTAGGCAAAGGAGTAGAACAGCCATTTCACCAAAAAAAAGATACACAGATGGCAAACAAGCACATGAAAAGATGTTCAACATTATGAGTCATTAGGAAAATGCACATTGAAACCACAGTGCAATACCACCACACACCTAGCAGATGCCTAAAATTAAAATGACTGACCATACCAAGTGTTGACGAGGATGTGGAGCGACTGAAAATACCATACATTGCTGGTGGAAATGGAAAAATATGATCACTTTGCAAAATAGCCATTTCTTAATAGCTACCCTATGATTCCAGCATGCCCCTCCTTGATATTTACCCAGTACAGAGATTTGTAACAAATGTCCACAGCAGCTTTCTAACAGCCAAAAAATGGAAACAACCAAAACAAACCTCCTGAGCAATAAAAATATTCCTAAGGTCTCCTCTCCAACATGGATAAATCTCAGAATTACTATGTTAAATGAAAGAAGCCTCCTCCACTACCAAAAATACACATACTGTATGGATTCGTTGCTATAAAACTCAAGGAAATGTAAAGTCCTCTGTCATCAAAAAAGGCCGTCACTGGGTTGTCTGGAGATGAGAGAACTATGACAAAAGGCCAGTGAGGAAACTTGCAGGGCAATGGGTAGGTTTGCTACCTTGATTTTGTTGACAGTATTATGGGTGTATACAGATGTCAAAGCTTAACAGACTGAGCCCTCTACATAAGTGTAGTTGATTGGAGGTCAGCTAACTCTCAGGAAAGCTGAAAAAATACAGTATGATCACCTTTATACATACCTTACATTTTTACCTGCATGCAAATGAATAAAGTATTTTTAAAAACAAGTATTAGCAGCCTCTCAAAATGCAGTGGTAAAAAGGGAAATGTACAGGTCAGCTGACCTAGGTTATTGGCCCCATTCTTGCTCTGTCAGCTCATCAGCTGTGACACACCGGGGAAACGGCTTAACGTCTCTGGTGACCTCAGTGTTCTGGTTGCTCAGAGCTCCCAATTAGATAATCCTTCCACACCTGTAGGAAAGAAGGCTAATCTCTATTCTCCTTTGTTGTAGATTTCCAATGCACACAGCCAGCAGATGGATGACCTCTTTGATATCCTCATTAAGAGTGGAGGTAGGTCACAAGTCACATCACACCCTGAGTAACCTTTTATGACAAGTGTATGAACATTTTCCTTTAGAGTTCACAGCCTATCTTGGAGTAGTGAGAAATGTAGTCTAATTCCAGCCAAGTTTACTGTTTTCAATATGTTCAATTAGGACATTAAAACAACTTATAAATGGAGGAAAAGTCACTGTTTCAGCTTAAAACAATAACATAATGTTAGATTTTATCCATAGATCTATGCCTGCTGAAAACAACACACCATCTCAAAATAGCCAAGTAGAGCCAATGATGTGGAGCCAAATTTAAATTCCACGTTGAAAAACTTCAAAACCTGTCCCATACATAGGTGATTGTGAGGGGATAAAAGCACTCGGCTGCACATACTAATGTTGTAACAACCACGTTACGTAGCACAGGCCCTAGTAGCTTGGTGAAAATTTAAAGGCAGTTTTAAAGCACTTTCTACATGTAATTGAAAATCTTAGACTTTATAGTGTATCATCTTAAAAAGAGATAAAGGATATTAACCACACACACACAAAATCAAGGATATCTCTACCTCAGCAAAAGTATCTTTCAAAATAAGTATAAAAATCAGTATTTTAAAATTGAGAACGCTGTTTAGAATCAAGTATTCTTAAGTTACCTTGATGAAAGGAGTTTTATTTAGATTTTTAAACAATGGTCAAAATTTCTCCGTTCATAGCAGGTACTATTTGGTTTTGAAGACACAAGGAAATTCTTGATGTTTAATTACAGCTCTACACGTGCAGATAGATTTTTTTCTAAGAACTACACTGGCCTCGCAAAATAACTTATGATATATCTGTGCTATGGAAGTAAATGTTTCACGGCCTGATTTTAAGGTTTTTTTTTTTTAAATGCATTTTGCCAAACCTGGTGAAAATAAAGATTTTCTCATTGATTAAAGGGAGTAATTTTTACAACCTAAACTTAAGAAATTAAAATGTGACAAAGTCATCAAGTGAGTTATTTTCTACAAGGAGTTTTTTTTTAATGGCCAAGTATCCAATGAGGACATTATATTATTGTGAACTAATACCAATGATAATGAAAACAGAGATTTAAAGAGTTGATTCTGAGACTGGTTACCTAGCACTGTCAGCTTTCAGAACAATTCTAGAGCTGACTACAGGAAATAACAAACTATACTCAAGACGCACGCAGGGAGAAGAATCAGTCCACACAGTCGACACAGTGCACATGGTCAGTCCACACGGTCGACAACTCACTCGTAGGAGTCAGAGTGTTTCTGCATCCCAGTCACTGAGTTCCCACAGCTCTTAGCAGATCCATTTCTCCTCCCATATTTGCATAGAAATGAAACCAATGAGATACCCATAAGAAAGTAAAAAAGAAACTTTATCCAAATAAATGTATCTAAATGAACGCTGGTATCTAGAGCAGATGGTGCACTTTCTACTTGATCTGGCAAGGAAGAACTCATCATTAGTGCTTATTAATACATCTGCCAGATCTTTACGATTTTAGGTAAACTCAGAAAACAAGACAAAAAAGTCAGAAAAATAAGGTAAAGAAGGTCAGAGGAGCTGTGGCTATCTTTAATTCGGAAATAAAATAAGATGGCTTTGTATCTCTTTAGAACTTTATGCAGAACATGTATGGCTGAACTGGGCACACAGTTCAACTGTAACAGTAATAGGAAAAAGAATATAATTAGATCCGTCATGATATTCAGAATGTACTTCATGTCTGCACAAACGGGACATACCTTTTGACTTTAAGGGTGGCGACCACAGTGATGGCAGATCCATGGTAACCTTTCTGAAGTCTGAAGTAACTGAGAACAAGGACCCAAAGATCAAATACTCAAATCCACCGACTCCTACCTAGTGGCACATAACTGCGTGTGATGCTTACCACTCTTACTAAAAAAGATAGCATATCAGAATGTTATCAATTTAAATGATTGTTTAAAATGAGCCGTCACCCTCTAGGTTACCAAGGAGCATACCTGACCAACAGCATTTTCTTTCTCCCACCCCTACGATGGTCTAAGTCCTCGCAAAATAAACAACTGTCCTGGTAATTGATAGAAATGTTTCAAGAGTAGTAAATCATTACTTACGGATCACTTCCATTATTTTGCACAGAGATTTCCCTCCCTATCAAAGAAGAGCCTTCACCTATTTCCAAAATGAGACCAGTGACAGCCAGCATCACCACAATGCCAGTCAACACAGTGGTGTCCCGGCCACCACCCCAAGTCCAGATGGCACCACCCATCTCCTTAGAACCCATGAGCAGTTTATCTGCCAGCTTAGAGAACCAGCTAGAAGCTTTCTTGGATGGAACTTTACCTTCGGCCAACGAAATTGCTCCACTACAAAGCAGCAGTGACGACAGGGAGCCCTTCTCTCTGATCGAGGACCTCCAGAACGATCTGCTGAGTCACTCGAGTGTGCTGGACCACTCACACTCCCCCATGGAGACTTCGGAGGCCCAGTTTGCTGCCAGCACCCCATGTCTGTCACTTGACCTTTCGGACTCAAACTTGGACAACATGGAGTGGCTGGACATTACCATGCCTAACACGTCGGGACTCACTCCCCTCAGCACGCCCGCTCCCAGCATGTTCTCCGCTGACTTTCTAGATCCACAGGACCTGCCCTTGCCGTGGGACTAACGTCACAGATTGTCCTTCGAGTCCATGACGTTTAAGAAGATGAAGATCATTCTCAAAGGTCCGTTTTTAGAGACAGATCCATAGTTGCATTGTTGCAATTACAATACGTTGTCACAGGAAGAAGGGATGGATGGTCACAGCCTGGAAACCGAGTGTGAAAACATTTCACTGCGCTCAGCCGTGAATTTCTACAACTTAACATAGTACAGGGCCTTCTGAAAAATCACTGGTCAAAGAAGACTCACCTGCTTCTCCAGACTTTGGCAAAGAATGAATAAAGACATACAGAAGAGGGACGTGTGCAGGAGCGCGACACGACGATGCTCCGGTCATCAACCGAACTACGCTTATGCCTCTGCGGTCACCTTGAGACCCCACCTACAAGACAGACAGCTCCACTCCCATGAGAGCGCCCGTGGCGGCAGGTGAGCGGCCCCTGCATGCGGTCTGTCCTAGAACAGGCCGGAGCCGGGCCCCGGGCGGCGGAGGCCGTGGAGGGTGCCCGCCCGTTCCCAGACAGCTTGCAGCTGCAGACTTCTGCTTCCGTTCAGAAACCGACATCGTGTTTCTGGGTCGTAGTTTGTGGTTTGGGGGATCCTACCGGAGCTTCCCACATTGAAATTGAAGTGGAAGATCTTTCACTGTCACCTGATGTCTCCAAAATACTGTCCTACACCATCCACTGTACAAAGTCCACGTATACTGATAACACTGAAAATTCTATTAGCAACCCTCGGGGTTGATGAGATGGATTTTAATGTGTATATTAGACATTTGTATGTACACTCTGACATTGTGATATGTACAGCCTACATTGGGGTAAGGAATTGGGTATCCAGTGGTCCTACTTGTTTTAGTAACTCGACTATTTCTAGAGTACTTGAGCCATGTGTATTTCCATATTTAAAGAAATGCTGACTGATTTCAGGTAACCAGACCCATCTCAAAGAACCAAGGAAGGCTTTAGTGTAAAATACCCTTCTGAGCTGTTGAGTTGCAAAGAGAGGGCAGAGGAGAAGTGTGCCAGGAGCCCCGAACGTTCTTGCAGGGGCTCCGGGTGAGACTCTCAGCGGGCTGGCTGCCGGGCCCCAGCTCTGGCCGCCTCTTCTCAGCCGTTTTCCCAGACGGTCATTTTTCAGGCTTGTAACTGGATGATATACCTGAGCTCTCACTAGATTACCAAGCCGAAGATAGAAAAACTGGAGGTTTTACTAGTCGTTGTTTTATATAGAAAAGAAGTTATCACACATTTGCTGAGTAGTTTCTTAAGAATTTTCTAAAATGCCAACTATCACAGGACTTCCAGACTTATTTCAGGCTAGTCATTTAAGAATATGACAAAATGTAAATAACTGAAAGAAAAAAAAAAACAATCTACCAAAAAAGTGTGAGGGTGTTTGTTAAAGAATATTATCACGCTCTACACCTCAATTTGTGTAAACCCTAGGGTCAGGTTGCTTTCTCTGGGTCCTTAGATGGTGATATTCCCACAGTGACATGCAAGAGCCAACCTGACCCATTATTCGGAAAGAATTTGGGCATCACCTGGGTTTGTGCTTTGCCTAAGAGCTGATCTTATTTCATATCTTTATCTTGGTTTGTAGATTTTACTCCATGTAGGGAAAGTTTGTTTTTCCAGTATTCAGCCGCCCAGAACACTGGAGCCCTCTGTTAACTGGCATTTCCCAACTTGAAAGACTTCGGAAGGGTTCAGGGCAGAAGCAGTTATGCTCAGTGTGGTCTGAGGGAGTAGTTTAAATGTTTAGAAACTGGTAATCCCACGCCTGGAATCCAGTAACCTGGTTCAGCACAACACCGCCGTGTGAGCCAGGCCAAGAGAGTGTGTCACCCCGGGTGGGACGGGCGGCCCCAATCCGTCCCTTCCAGAAGGGCCTGTCTCTGGGGACAGGGCTGTCTACTCGGGCAGGTACTTGTCTAGGGGTGGTCTTGGCCGTGGGTTTTTGTCTGGGGCTTACCTCCTCCACACGTGGACTCGTAGGAGGCAAGTGACCAGCTAGCGCTGTTGACTCTCACGGACTTTGTATTTCCACCAGCCTGAGTTATGCACCTGGATGCTTTCCTCGCCCTTGGCTCTCCCGTTGCTTTTTCAAAACAAGGTCTGAAACGTGCCACAGGAAGGGTGCTGTCCAAAAATACACACTTGAGTGCAGAGAATGCCAGCCCACTAGCCTGCTTGCTTTTGACTAGGAATTGCTGAAGTACCCACTTCACACATGGGTTTCAAACCCTTACGTATGGGGCTTCCTCGAAAGGGAGGGCAAGGAGCCTCCCAACCCGAACTCCACCAGCCCCCCACTCGTACCATTCCACCGGGCCCTCCCGTCCTGGCTTGGGCGGCAGGCCGGGCACGCATGGCAGGGAGGCCGCTGCCCAGGGTCCCAGCTCTGTGTTCGAGGTTAGCGTGAGGACGCAGACGTGTGCAGCAGGTGACGTGACCAAAGACGATGCTGTCATCGAGGCCCCTCTGACGACCTGACTCACTGTACACAGGGTAAGCGGCGGGAAAGGTGTGCACCACAGAGGACTATCTTTATTATCACAGCCATAAAGCACAGGGCAGGCCGGCCGGGATGCATGCGTGTAGCGTAGACGTGGGAGTGTGGTCCGTCGTCTTGCAGAACATCATATTGCCAAGGAAAGAACCAGCTCTTGGACGTGCACTCTCTCCCATCCAGTCTGACTTCCCTGAATATTCCCGAAGCACCGCTGCATCAAGCTCGCCTCTCCAGGGTATGCAGGTACCGGCTCATGTCCTCTGGGGCGGGATGCATGGGAAGCCCAGAGCTTCTCCGGGCTTTGCGAGTCTAGGGGCCTGGGGTCACCTTGTAGATTTCAGCAGCGCGTGTCTAGGGAGGCCCCTCTGGCGTGTTGCTGGGGGTTCACGTGCTAGCATTCTTCCTGAATTGTGCAATCTACTGTACAGTATTGGCCACATATTTGTACATAGATATATTCTCAATTCGTGGGGTTTCTTGCTCAGATACTCTGTGTTTTATAGGACTATTTTTATAATACTAGAGAGATCTTATTTAAGTTTCCTTTTTTAAAAACTGCCCGGTTCTGTGATCCATGTAACTGACACTTTAGGAAGTGCGATTTTGGAAGGCAGTCTGGTGCAGCCCCGAGTGATGTATCGGCAGCATGTCACCCGTTTGGTCACCACAGTGGACTTAGGCTTCCTCTGCCCTCCCCCCTAGATCATTCCAGGCCACCTTGCTTTCTTTGGCGCCCGTTCAGAATTCCCAGGCTGAAACCAGCCACGCAGCTGTCCCCACAAGTGGTGGGACAGTCCCTCTCCCGTCCCCAGACAGGCTCCTGCCGGCAGTCACTTTAGATAGGGACGGCCCATTTCTCCGGATCCACACAGAACCCTCCGTGTTGTGTCACCCCTCTCCGCACACATGCATACTCCTGACCCCTGGCAACAGAGCAGACTACCGAACTGTCCACTGCCCTGGAGGCCACGGAATTAGCCCAGGTGATCCAAGCGCATTAACTGGAAGGGCAGCTCCATCGAGGAGCACAGCTTCCGAGGGCAGGTCTGTGTGCTTGGAGAGCATCCTAACTGCGCTTCGGCTCACCTTCTAAGTGGCTGCAGTCCCCACTGGAAAATAACAAGACGCGGCCATTCTTTGCCTTGTCTCCAACCCTGCCGACGCGCGGGTCTGTCCAGGCCACCTTTTCCATTTGTGAAGTGACTCTGCCTGCAGGACCACAAGGAGGCCCCCGTGTGCTCCCCGTTCACCCCTCCTCGCACTATCCGAGGAGTACGTGCGTCCCGCAGAGGCTTTCTAAGCCGCGATCTTGGATTCGAGGCCCGGGCGCCACCCAGCTGCCCGTGTTTACAAAAGAGCGCTTCCCCCTCTGCACTAACACATCGCTCTGTGAATCGTGACCGGGAAATGTCACCATTCCGTGACAGCAGGATGGCAGTCTCAGACCAGAGGTGCCGTCTGGAATCAAAACAGGTCACTGGCGATAATCAGCACAGCTAGTCATGTTCAACAGAGCTTTGTGCCAACTACTAAGACAAAGCTTTAACCAAGTTCATAGAATCACCGAGACTCGTAACAATTACCTCTCGACGTTCTGCTGTAAGGAAACTTGCTGACTGGGGACGAGGAGGGAGCATTTAGGAGAGGGTTTAGTATCTACCAAAAGTACTTAACCTCAAGTAACCAAGAGTAATGCAAACTTGCTTTAAAGGAACCAAAGGCATTGCCAAGTATTTGCCAAAAGGAGGCACTTTTTATTTAAAATTTGAGACTAACGAGATCTCAACAGTCAGTCCCAAAAAGGTATTATCCATTTAAGGTTATAATTTTCACAAAGATGTAGATATTTCTCTGTTGTTTTCATGTAAAATAGAATAGATTTGTTTTGTTGGTTTAAGAATAATACATATTTAGTAGTAATACGGAGTTTCTTCCTAAGTGCAGATTAGTTTCCTTTTCTCTTGCTTGCAATAGAAACACAGCGTGATAGGTGTTTCTCTTCTTATTTTCATGGTCACATTATGTCTTAGCATCTCACTTTATGAAAACAAGGAGAAAGATACCAACCTACAGAGCCCCGCTTACTAAAGCACTAGCTTAATAAACAAAAAAATTATGGCAATCGGGGGGTCCATTCATGTATTGCCTTTATGTTGTTTTTTAAAAGAAAACCATGATGCCTTTGTATTTGCTGTTTGCACCCCTGAAATCAATTCCGTATCATGTTTGAATGCCATACATTTTGCACATGTACTGTACATAGTAACGCGTACTGTATTTTTACATGTGTGCACATTTATCATCAGATCTTTTGTACATGGTGGCAGTATTGTAGCCGGTCGGGAGACGTTTGATATCTCAGCAATTTTGCATTTTTGTGTCTCAAATAAAAAACATTTTGATGTACTACCGGTTCTTGCTGTGTGGAGGGCGGACCACACCCTGTGGGTTGGGCGAGCCCCAGCAGAGCTGGGCGCGGGCACG